TGGTTGTATAGGAGCAGCTTAGAAACCCCTGGTTGTATAGGAGCAGCTTAGAAACCCTGGTTGTATAGGAGCAGCTTAGAAACCCTGGTTGTATAGGAGCAGCTTAGAAACCCCTGGTTGTATAGGAGCAGCTTAGAAACCCTGGTTGTATAGGAGCAGCTTAGAAACCCTGGTTGTATAGGAGCAGCTTAGAAACCCTGGTTGTATAGGAGCAGCTTAGAAACCCCTGGTTGTATAGGAGCAGCTTAGAAACCCCTGGTTGTATAGGAGCAGCTTAGAAACCCCTGGTTGTATAGGAGCAGCTTAGAAACCCTGGTTGTATAGGAGCAGCTTAGAAACCCCTGGTTGTATAGGAGCAGCTTAGAAACCCTGGTTGTATAGGAGCAGCTTAGAAACCCCTGGTTGTATAGGAGCAGCTTAGAAACCCCTGGTTGTATAGGAGCAGCTTAGAAACCCCTGGTTGTATAGGAGCAGCTTAGAAACCCTGGTTGTATAGGAGCAGCTTAGAAACCCTGGTTGTATAGGAGCAGCTTAGAAACCCTGGTTGTATAGGAGCAGCTTAGAAACCCTGGTTGTATAGGAGCAGCTTAGAAACCCCTGGTTGTATAGGAGCAGCTTAGAAACCCTTGGTTGTATAGGAGCAGCTTAGAAACCCCTGGTTGTATAGGAGCAGCTTAGAAACCCTGGTTGTATAGGAGCAGCTTAGAAACCCTGGTTGTATAGGAGCAGCTTAGAAACCCCTGGTTGTATAGGAGCAGCTTAGAAACCCTGGTTGTATAGGAGCAGCTTAGAAACCCTGGTTGTATAGGAGCAGCTTAGAAACCCTGGTTGTATAGGAGCAGCTTAGAAACCCTGGTTGTATAGGAGCAGCTTAGAAACCCTGGTTGTATAGGAGCAGCTTTGAAACCCCTGGTTGTATAGGAGCAGCTTAGAAACCCTGGTTGTATAGGAGCAGCTTAGAAACCCTGGTTGTATAGGAGCAGCTTAGAAACCCTGGTTGTATAGGAGCAGCTTAGAAACCCTGGTTGTATAGGAGCAGCTTAGAAACCCTGGTTGTATAGGAGCAGCTTAGAAACCCCTGGTTGTATAGGAGCAGCTTAGAAACCCTGGTTGTATAGGAGCAGCTTAGAAACCCTGGTTGTATAGGAGCAGCTTAGAAACCCTGGTTGAACAAAAAGCTCCAAGCAGCACGGGCTATGGTGAGCCCGTAAATCCAAATCCTTATCCCGACCCAGTGCTGTATAGTCGTGATGGCTTGGCGCTTTCCCCTGATAGTTCCCTTCCCTACCGCCCCCCCCCCCCCCAAGCCTCCAGGTTGGTGGTCTGGTCAACCAGGCTGTTGGTGCGTCGCAGCAATGCTCCACTGTTGTATTTGATGTCTGTGTCAGCGTACCGGGGTTCGTGGTCATTTTTACAGCGACCTTTGACCTGTGCCCCGACCTCTGTAATTGCCAGAATCACAGGTGTCACAACCACCAATGGGGCTCCAGTGTACACAGGTTGATTGACAGGTGAACGGCGGGACCTAAGAGCCGAAGCTCAACCCCCCCGCAAGCTCATCAACTAGGCGAGTATACAAGTGGGGTGAGTACTGGCGCACTACTGGTTCACAACCGGTTTACCACCGATGCACCACTGGTTCGCAGGGGCCAGGGGCCAGATTCACAAAGCAGTTACGCAAGAACTTACGAACCTGTACATTTTTTCTCAATCTTTGGAGGTTTTGTTTACAATTATTAAACAGTTAATGAACTCCGAAGCACGAGGAGGCTGTTTATAACAATAAAACCAGTTGATTGAGAAGTTTTCATGCTTGTAAACTGTTTAATAAATGTAAACAAAGCCGTCAAAGATTAAGGAAAGATGTACACGTTCGTAAATACTTGCGTAACTGCTTCGTGAATCTGGCCCCAGGTGTAAGTGGCAGCAGGTGGGATCAAATCATTGTCACATAAACAAATGTTTTGAAGGTTGAGTGTCAAGGATGGTGAAGCGGCGCACCTGAACACCATTTAACACATTCACGTGCAATGTTAACTCTGTATGTCTATGGGGCTGGATTTCGACCAGCCTATGATCATCCCAGAAAACAGACCAGTCACCATGCAAAGTTTGATGAGGCTCGCCCTATGCGTCTGGCCCCTAGAGCAGACATACGTTCTCTGTTATTCATTTAAATATGAATCCCAGAGTTTTTTTTTTGCAGCGTCCTGTATCCTCACACCTGAGATAAATGCAACAGGTGAAGCATGAGGCGGGGTCGCAGAGCTAGAGCTCGTTCTCCGTCGACTCCCTTGAGTAAGCATATGCATGTACTGCTCATCAGCGCCGTTATATACATGCGGTAGTGTGTATACGTAGGCTGTAGCGAAGGTCGGTGTAAGTAAAAATGTTTGGTCCGTTTGGAGCAGGTGGCTACTGGTGTGAGGGCTGGTGGTGGTGTTATAACCTTGGGTAGGGCTAGTTCCCCCTCCCCCCTTGTGTGTGTGTGTGTGTGTGTGTGTGTGGGTGTGTGTGTGTGTGTGTGTGTGTATTCACCTAGTTATATTCACCTAGTTGTGTTTGCGGGGGTTGAGCTTTGCTCTTTCGGCCCGCCTCTCAACTGTCAATCAACAGGTGTACAGGTTCCTGAGCCTATTGGGCTCTATCATATCTACACTTAAAACTGTATATGGAGTCAGCCTCCACCACATCACTGCCTAATGCATTCCATCCGTTAACTACTCTGACACTGAAAAAATTCCTTCTAACGTCTCTGTGGCTCATATGTGTGTGTGTGTGTGTGTGTGGTGTAAAATAGGATGTGCGTTTGACCAAAATTGGAGGCTAGGTGCTGGAGGATAACCTCACCCAACTCTTTAAGATGACCCGTGCGGGGTAAGGGAGTGTCGAAGGCCAGTCGACATCAGTCCCAGAACTACCGACTCCTATATCGACCTCCGGAGATATTCGCGAAGTCTTAAATCATGGATTTGTTTTCCATAAAGATTTAGCAAGTTTTCCAGTGCTTCTTATTGTTAAATTTTCGGAAAGAGTGACAGAGACGGCTAGAGATGAGGGTGAGGGGGGGGGACAACAGGGGCCTCGTAGCCTGGTGGATAGCGCGCAGGACTCGTAATTCTGTGGCGCGGGTGCGATTCCTGCACGAGGCAGAAACAAATGGGCAAAGTTTCTTTCACCCTGAATGCCCCTGTTACCTAGCAGTAAAATAGGTACCTGGGTGTTAGTCAGCTGTCACGGGCTGCTTCCTGGGGGTGGAGGCCTGGTCGAGGACCGGGCCGCGGGGACACTAAAGCCCCGAAATCATCTCATGATAACCTCAAGATATGTTGGAGACAGAAGAAAAGTGTAGAGGGAGGAAAAAGGGGAATGGGGTCGCATATGTGGCCTTGACAGTTGTTCCAGGCCGGGAACAACTGTCAAGGCAGTTGACAGTTGACAACTGTCAACTGTGTGTTGATTACTCTGGACGGGTAATCAACAAGTTGAATGCACTGAAAGTAGCAGCTGCCACCTCCATCCACAACTTTACGGCTGAATTCGACAAAGAATTCGACCAGCAAGAGAATATTGCTTCACAGCGGGTACAAGGAGGCCAGTAGGCCTTGTTGTCCCTTGTACTCCCTTGTACTCCCGTAGTCCTTCCCCATAGGGAGCTAGACCTCCTCCCTCCCTCCCCCGTAGCCACCGACAGGCAAGTACCCATAGGTAAGCACAGGTAAGTTCCAGGTACTGCGCACTAATCAGCGCGTATTGTACCGCCTCTCTCAGCCCGCATTGTTGACAACCCAATTTGTAAATTAGTGTTTATGCGTCATGGGGTCCTCCTTGCGTCACTAGATTGACGCAAGGACGCAAAAAACCCTCCATCTGCCTGGCGGACACGACACGACCCAATCCGTCCTCTGAACAAATCCACAAGAGCCGTGACGAGGATTCGAACCTGCGTCCGAGAGCATCCCAGACGCTGCCTTAATCGACTTAATCGACCCGTTCTCTCTCCTACGTCGCATTCTCGACGGAATCGACCAGTCCGGTTATAAAATCAGACGTTTCAGGGCAAATTAAAGCACTTGCAATGGAACGCAAGACAAAACGGGCGCATTTTTTACGGAGTAGCGAGCGTGGAGGACCACGTAGGAGCCGGAGCAGCCGGCTGGAGGAGGCTGTGTCACCGGATGTTAGTCAGCGCGTTTTTGTCTGTTACGTCGTGTGTGTGTGTTGTCGTTCTTGTTAGCCCCGGATTTATGGCGGATTTTTAATGTGATGAAGGGAGTGGATGGCTGGGGTGGAGGGTCTGTGTTTGATTTTGAAGTGGGGAAGATAGATGGAAACCCATGGCTTGGTAATTACCTAAGTGTAATTACCTAAGTGTAGTTACAGGATGAGAGCTACGCTCGTGGTGTCCCGTCTTCCCAGCACTCTTTGTCATATAACGCTTTGAAACTACTGACGGTCTTGGCCTCCACCACCTTCTCACTTAACTTGTTCCAACCGTCTACCACTCTATTTGCGAAGGTGAATTTTCTTATATTTCTTCGGCATCTGTGTTTAGCTAGTTTAAATCTATGACCTCAAATATGACCTCAAATCTATGGTGTGTGTGTGTGCGTGTGTGCGTGTGTGTGTGTGTGTATGTGTGTGTGTGTGTGTGTGTGTGTGTGTGTGTGTGTGTGTGTGTGTGTGTGTGTGTGTGTGTGTGTGTGTGTGTGTTCTGGTTTCCTGCTATTAAGACAATATCATACACGCGTGCGCAAGAGAGAGAGCCGGGGAAGGGGGGAGGGGGGTTGCTAGTACCTTCCAGCACGTCTGACTAGGCCTCCTTGGCCAGAGACCGGGCCGCAAGGACCATGACCACCCGGAATCACCGCAAGGTAAAGGGACGTTCTCTCCCCTCATACATCATCGCATTTTCTAAGGCATCGACTAATCCGTAAACAAAGCGACGTATTATTATTATTAAACCTGAAAGCGCCGCGATACTGGTCTTCACTTGGCCTCTATGGGTTTGGTGGGTTGTTGGGGTTGGTGGGTTGATTGGGGTTTGGTGGGTTGTTGGGGTTGGTGGGTTGATTGGGGTTTGGTGGGTTGTTGGGGTTGGTGGGTTGATTGGGGTTTGGTGGGTTGTTGGGGTTGGTGGGATGATTGGGGTTTGGTGGGATGATTGGGGTTTGGTGGGTTGATTGTGGTTTTGTGGGTTGATTGGGGTTTGGTGGGTTGTTGGGGTTGGTGGGATGATTGGGGTTTGGTGGGTTGTTGGGGTTGGTGGGATGATTGGGGTTTGGTGGGTTGTTGGGGTTGGTGGGATGATTGGGGTTTGGTGGGTTGTTGGGTTGGTGGGATGATTGGGGTTTGGTGGGTTGTTGGGGTTGGTGGGATGATTGGGGTTGGTGGGTTGATTGGGGTTGGTGGGTTGATTGGGGTTTGGTGGGTTGTTGGGGTTGGTGGGTTGATTGGGGTTTGGTGGGTTGATTGGGGTTGGTGGGTTGATTGGGGTTTGGTGGGATGATTGGGGTTTGGTGGGTTGATTGGGGTTGGTGGGTTGATTGGGGTTTGGTGGGATGATTGGGGTTTTGTGGGTTGATTGGGGTTTGGTGGGTTGTTGGGGTTGGTGGGATGATTGGGGTTTGGTGGGTTGTTGGGGTTGGTGGGATGATTGGGGTTTGGTGGGTTGTTGGGGTTGGTGGGATGATTGGGGTTTGGTGGGTTGTTGGGGTTGGTGGGATGATTGGGGTTTGGTGGGTTGTTGGGGTTGGTGGGATGATTGGGGTTTGGTGGGTTGATTGGGGTTGGTGGGTTGATTGGGGTTTGGTGGGTTGTTGGGGTTGGTGGGTTGATTGGGGTTTGGTGGGTTGATTGGGGTTGGTGGGTTGATTGGGGTTTGGTGGGATGATTGGGGTTTGGTGGGTTGATTGGGGTGGTGGTTGATTGGGGTTTGGTGGGATGATTGGGGTTTGGTGGGTTGATTGGGGTTTGGTGGGTTGTTGGGGTTGGTGGGTTGATTGGGGTTTGGTGGGTTGATTGGGGTTGGTGGGTTGATTGGGGTTTGGTGGGATGATTGGGGTTTGGTGGGTTGATTGGGGTTTGGTGGGTTGATTGGGGTTTGTATGTTGTGGCAAATAAAGAGAAGAGGCTGGACCACCAGGAACATCACTAATAAAGTTGTTTTTGTCCGGGACAGGAAGCCTGTGTATGCGTGTACTTCTGGTTTGTATGGAGGTAACTAACTACTCCCTTAATCGACTGAGCTACGACATGGTATAACAATTGCAACCAGTTTGCTCAGTCGATTAAGGCACCGTCTGGGATGCTCTCAGACGTAGGTTCGAATCCTCGTCACGGCCCTTGTGGATTTGTTCACTTAACACTTGATGTCATGGTGCGACGAATTAACGTAGTAACGATCCGTAAGAGGGCGCCCTGACTAGATATACTAGCAAGTATATCTTAGATACATTCACACGCTTAGATAATGCTGGTTTCACTACGGGCGCAC